TCCCCGTCCCCGCAAGCTGGAACTGACCCTCCGAATGTGAATTCCTATTCTTAGCTCAGCCACAGCCTAGTTCTATGACTTGAGAAATTAATTCCACTCCTCCTTGACTTAGTTTATTCATGCATAAAATGGGACTACTTTGCACGGCTCCCGGGGCTATGGGAAAACATTGAGCAGTTGGAGCGAATCTCTTGCTGCCTTCTGCTCTCAGAATGAGAAGCCATCCAGGGGGAGGGGCACAAGCCGCCCCCCGAATTTCCCATCTGCTTTTCCTGGGTTTGTCTTCAAAACTGACTACTAGCCAAGTACCCCTCATGGACAATACCAATAAACACATGAATGCAAAAATAAATGAAGGGATGGACAAAGATACAGATGAGAAGAATTTCCCAGAAGGATCATTGGGAAGTCTGGGGACTGGGGTGTGGGGACAGGGTGGATTTGCAGAGGCTTCAGGCTTTGAGTTGGTGGAACATTCTCTAGCCAACATTCTCTATTCTTCATCCAGGTGCAGCTGTGGATGAAGGCAGGTGGGTTCCTGCAGCTTGGTGCCTAGAAATGGGAGTTATAAAAGGAGCAGGAGAGTGGGGATATAGGTCAAGTGCTGGGTTCGATCCTCAGCACCTCATAACTGGGTATGGAGGTGCTCACCTGTAGTCCCAGCACTGTGGAGTCAGGAGAATCAAGAATTCAAAGCTGGGGCTGGAGAGATGGCTCAGCAGTTAAAAGGACGGGCTGTTCTTGCAGAGGACCTAGATTCGAATCCCAGCACCCACATGGCAGCTAACAACTGTCCGTAACTCCAGTCCCAGAGGATCTGATGGCCTCTTTTGTCCTCCGAGGGCATTGCACAACACAGGTGCATTTACACTCATGTAGGCATAACACACAAACACATAAAAAAATAACAATAAATAGGGCTGGAGAGATGGCTCAGCTGTTAAGAACACTGGTTGTTCTTGCAGAAGACCCAGGTTCGAATCCCAGCACCCACATGGCAGCTAACAACTGTCTGTAACTCCAGTCCCAGGGGATCCGACAGCCTCTTCTGACCTCCATGGGCATGGCATGACACGGGTGCACTTACCTACATGTGGGCATAACACACACATAAAATAAAAATAATAAAATATTTTAAAATATAATAAATAAAAATTTTTAAATAAAAAAGAGTTTGTGCTGAGCCAGGCGTGTTGGCGCATGCCTTTAATCCCAGCACTTGGGAGGCAGAGGCAGGCGGATCTTTGTGAGTTCAAGGACAGCCTGGTCTACATAGTTCCAGGCCAGCTGGGGCTACAGGGAGACCCTGTCTCAAAAAGACCAAAAAAAAAAAAGTTTGTGCTGGATAGCTTTAGCGTCAACTCAACACACATGGGTAGAGGGAGACTCAACTGGGGAATTGCCTCCATAGGACTGGCCTGTGGCCATGTCTGAGGGGCATCTTCTTGATGAGTGATGTGGGAGGGCCCAGCCCACTATGGGTGGTGCCATCCCTGGGCAGGTGGGCCTGTGTTGCATAAGAAAGCAGGCTGAGCAGGGCCCAGGGAGCAAGCCAGTAAGTAGGGTTCCTCCATGGCCTGTGCTCCAGCTCCTGCCTCCAGGTTCCTGCCCTGAGTTCCTACCTTGGGCTCCCTGATGAACTGACCCTTTCCTCCCCAAGTTGGTATTGGTCAGAGTGTTTTGTCACAGCAATCGAAGGCAAACTAGAACAGAGTTCAAAGCCACATTGCAAGTCTGAGGTCAGTGACTACATGATACCCTATCTGAAAAAATCAAAGCAGGAGAGACGGTAGAGGCAGAGGTGCAGGGGCATCAATGACACAGGAGTGCAGGGGTACAGGGGACGCCAGGGGATCAGGAGGCCACAAGGCTGCAGTCAGAGTGGACACCAGTGTTCGCTGTTTCAGGTGATGACAAAGTCCATGAGGCAGCCACAGTGAGTCTGGAGGAGAGTGGTCATGAAGCTGGGAGTGGCGGTGGACTTTGCACCCCAGGAGGATGCAGTCCTGTAGAATTCAGAAGGTAGGTATGTGGTAGAGGAAAGAGCAAGCGGCTGAGGTGGGGTTGTAGTGCAGAGAGTGGGCACGGTGGAAGGCAACGGAAAAGGTGGCTCTGGATGCTCTGAAGGAGGGTGTGCAGGGGTACCCAGAATAGGCCCTGTCCTTCCCATGAGGGTACCCCTTAAGTCATATTGGCAAGGGGCCCTGTGCATCTGGGCAGAGACCAGCAGGTGAAAACATACAATGTTTGAGCAGGGCATGCTGGCGCACACCTTTAATCCCAGCATGCGGGAGGCAGAGGCAGGTGGATCTCTATGAGTTCAAGGCCAGCGTGGTCTACACAGTGAGTTCCAGGCCAGGTGGGGCTACAGGGAGACCCTGTCTCAAAAAGAAAACATATGATGTTTGTTTTTCTTTTTTAAAATTTTTTTTATTTAAAAAAAAATTTTTTTCTTTTTGCTCTTTTTGAGACAGCATCTCCCTCTAGCCCCAGCTGTCCTGGAACTCACTATGTAGACCAGGCTGGCCTTGAACTCACAGAGATCCGCCTGCCTCTGCCTCCCACGTGCTGGGATTAAAGGCATGCACCACCATGCCTGGCTTATTTTTAAAAAATTTTTTAATAACTAACATGATTAGAAGAAGCATCTCATTACAGCTTTAACATATTCAGTAACACACTCCAGAGCAAGAGTACATCTCTTTCACAAGTGGGTGCATGTTTCTAGGTTCACAGTTGAATTAATACAGTTATATAGTATTGAACTCAGTATAAGCCCTGTAAGACATAAAATTGAATGAGTTTTTTAGCCTTTAAAAAAGATCTCCACTTCATTTTATA